GTGTAAGCGATGATTACCTATAAGTGATTGTGAATTATGTCCTAGATAGCTATAGCAATTAAGATTTTGAGTAATGTAACAATCGTTGGTAATCTAATTAAATAAATAAAAAAAAGAGGGCTAACCTTTGAGGACTGAGATGGAATGCCTCGCAGACTGTAGTTGTACTGGCTTTCTGCAACCTTCGGGTCGGAATACGGCAATGCAAGCACTGCTGTTTGGCGGCAGAAGTAAATAATGCGCTTTAAAGTGATAATAGCACTAACAGGTCGCTCTGGGAGACAAAATTGACCGCCCATTTTAAGGGTTTTGTGGAGAAAGGAGCTGGCCTCGTGTCCCCGAAAGATGTTTATTAAAATTAAAAATTAATACTTAACAACATAAAATACGTAAAATTATTATTTTTATTATATATATTTCTAAGATACTCAAATATTTTCATTAGTTGGTACTAAATGTAACGCTCTTGTTTGCAAAAGTCCACAATGGAAGTTACTTTAGATTATCTGCTTGCTTCTTTTGTCGTTTCTCATTACGGCCATTAATTTCTAGTGTAATTTGGAGATATATTGCAAACCCATACCAAAAAATACATTTTGTAAACACTCAAAAAGTAAAAAAAAATCAACTTAAAGATAACAATATTAAGAGCATAATTACATATTCCGGTACGTTATTACGTCGAGAAGGGAAAATTACGGTACCTGACCGGTTTTAATGAAGTCGGAAAGAAACATGATTTACATAGTCCCACAAGTTCGCAACAAAATGACTAAAAAATAATTCGAGTCCGGCCTTAGCGATGACCAATTTGTAATATTTGTTAGTTGTATTTTATATCGCGTAGATATCGAAGCAATTTTGATTCCTGCTAAAGGGAGCATTTATTTGATCATGTTCCACTTTAAAAATGTGACCATACAATGAACCTATCTATCGTCTATCCTTTTTTTATGGGAGAGCGCCTCCGGCTCTATAAAACCACTCTAGGGGTAGGACAGACTCGTACCAGGTGGAGTCGGGGTAAATCAATTCGGTTCTTTGACATAAGTTGAACCTAACCTATTTTATTTGTTATTTGCCCTAATAGGTACTGTTAAATAAAACAAATTTCAATAAGAGATCATTTATCATGGTATCTTTCTTGTTTTTCATAAAATGGGTTTATATTTACATTATAAATAGAAACATTAAAAAAATATAGATATTTTAGAAATCGATTTTTTGTGAACTACATCAGCTTACGATTTGAATCGATTTAAAAATCGACCTTTTTCGGAAAGAATCGACATCCCTATTGACGTCGACAATGACATTACAAAATGGCGCCAGTTGTACAGTAGAATTAGATATAAACATTGCAAGAATAATTGATTTTCAATAATTTTTTTCTCTAAAATTACGCGTTTCCGCATGTTGAAACTGTGTGTGCTTATAATAGTGTAACTTTTCTGTAAAAATACGAATCAACACCCAACTCGACTGATGTCAATGGAAAGCTAAGCCGAGCCATTCGTTCTACAACTATAATATAGCTGCAGCATAGCTCTACCCAACGCCCTCTTAGGCCATACCGGGGCCCTTGGGCACGCAAGAATTTGGGGCCCTGGTGGAAAGTAAAAAAAAAAGTGAATGACAAAAACACACTGCTATGATATTTTTTTTATTATAGTTAATTGTTAAAAATCAAATAAGATGTTATTAATTATAATTAGATAAGTATGTATGTTGATGGCTTAAATTGGATACCCTTACGACAGTGGTTTATTCCGGGATTTCTGTTGTGCAAAATCTTCTATTATATCTTCAAAGTCTATTTTTTGCAGGATCCTCCAAGTCGAGCAAAAAAGCCGCACAGCCGTACCATCCTTTTCTCGAATTAGTTCAGGCCATTTTCGACCCCCCTATTACTTCGTTGTGAATAAAACTAGAAGCCTAGCCTTTCAGTAACCAAGCAGGGATTACATAAACACGGTATATTTCAAGTTTCATTAAATTTGAACCAGTAGTTTAAGAATTATAACTATAGTGCGGCCAACGAGAAGCGATACCAAATGTAAACAAAACCAATGCAAGGTTATTAGGAATAGCAAGGGTGTGTAACTTTTTGATGGTTAGATTATATATTTAAGTAGACAATATAGTTTCAAAAAATGTCTACGAGAGGCGCACTGAAATGATCGGGAATAAGAAAAACCACATGCACGGTATAGCTAAATTGTATTTTATTGTTTTTCGAAGTATTCTCCGTTCAACTTAATGCATTTTTCCATTCGTGCAAACCAATCATTAAAACAGTAATTCCAGTCTGAAGTTGATGTTGACAAAATGGCTGATTTGTATGCTTTCACAGCTGCTTCGGTGTCTTCAAACCGTTGACTGCGTAATAAATCTTTCATTCTAGGGAATGTAAAGAAATCGTTTGGGCTCAGGTCAGGACTGTATGGAGGATAGCTCATCAGCTCAACGTTTTCCTGCTTCAAAAAATCATTTGTCTTCCGAGCCGTATGGGAGCTCGCATTATCGTGATGTAAGATAATGCTACGTTCGGGTTTCGGGTTATTTTTTCGGAGTTCGGCTATCATTTCTGGCAAACAAACCGTGCACTCAGCGTTAACCGTTCGGCGTTCCTATAAAGGAATTGTAGCACATGCTCCTTTTTCGAGACAAACGTAGCGACCATTTTCTTTGACACGCTGCGAGAACGTACCACTTTTGTTGGTTTGCCCTCGTCTTCGAAGACCCAAACTGCTGACTGATGTTTTCTTTCAGGTTCGTATGAATAAATCCATGATTCGTCACCTGAGACGATATTATAAACGGCATTTGACTTCCGTCAGTTGAAGCGTTGCAGAGTATTCCGGCACCAATCTACACGAGCCGCCTTTTGCTCTTCGGACAAATTGTGGGGAACCCAGTGGGAAACTAGCTTTCTTACACACATCTCATTATGTAATATCGACTGAATTGCAGTCATTCCGATACTGATAACAGCCCGAATCTGCTCGTATGTCACATGACGGTCATCTAATATAATAGTTCGCACAGCTGCGATGTTTTCAGGCGTGACCGCTGTTCTTGGTCGACCTGTAGAAGAAACAGTGCTGAGCGACACACGACCGCGTCGGAACTTGGCATACCAGCGGTATATTGTCGTTTGACTCGGTGCTTCAACATCATAAATCGAAACAAGTTCACTGAGACATCTTGAGATAAGCCGCGACGAAAATTGTGATAAATTATGGCACGGAAATGTTCACGTGTGAGATCCATTTCTGTTAACGACGTGTCAACTTTAAACCAACATAGTTTTTGTTTTTAAACATTTTTTAAATTGTTTGAATATCATTAAAATTCTAAGAGGCCAGTATTCAAATTCTAAAAAAGGTTTTATTTTATTAAATTTTGTTATAATTTGAATTATTGTATAATATAGATTTAAATTAAATAACGAGAATAATAATAATGTTTCTGAATATCGCTTGCCTAACAATTGTGTGCCCGGTGTTTGGTAACAGGCTTGCCCCCTTTTACAAAGGGACTTAAATATATCATGCAAAATGTTGGTACTATAGACAATGTCGCCAACTATAGATAATGTCGAATTCTATATAGTGCATTGTATAGACTCTCCAAACTCGACTTTGCAATCGAAGTGGTTTGTGTAGGTGACCGCTAGAACTAGATGGTGTAGTTAATTAGTTTTATTTTCTAGGTACTTTTTAGATATTTTTTATAGTTATTAAAATGTTTACTGTTTAGAAAAAGATTAAAAAAACTGTTCCGATTAAAATTCGCTAAGCTACTACCTATATTCATGTCTTTTCCTATTATCAATTTAAACAACAACATTTATTTAGCTGTAATTATATAAATAAATAGATTACAGAAAATTTAAAAAAATCCAGCCTATAAGTAAGGTACAGCCCGACAAAAAACGTTTAGATGGTAGCGAAACGCTGAACAACGTATTTTATACTATTTATATTTGTGGCTTGTCACTGCTCAGGGTTGCCAGAAAGTCACTAACGACCCTCATTTACCCTATTAATTTTTTTGTAAGGTTATATTGTCATAAAATAGAAAAAAAATGTATAGTGTAAGCGAATATATCGGCCTTTATTAGGGGCCCCCCTGACGATAGGGGCCCTGGGCATGGGCCTTGTGTGCCCTTATGATAGACGGCACTGGCTCTACCACGTATAGGGAGACGAAAAGATTCAAATAATCACCGTCATAAAACAACAATTTACCGCAACCACCACTTAGTGTCAGTGTTTTAGTGTGGTCATAAAGAGAAATCGCTACTCTTTTAGGATTAGATGTTAGAAGCCTTTCAACTGTGACCCGTGCGAGGGTGAAAGGTAAATTAATCCTCTGCTTAATCCTTATCGATTGCCTTGTTTACGTTTGATAGCGTCCGCTGTTCCTTAAGTCATATTGTTTAAGTTTCTTTACATCTGGTGTGACCTTAGATATTGTTTTATGTAGACGATTTGCTCGTAATATATGAGTCTGTTAAACTGTCGCGTTGATATATTTAATATAAGTACTTAACGCCACAGTTTACCTGTTGAGTGTTGTTGAATTCAAGTCAACTTTTAATAATAAGTCAAGTTTATACGTGAAAGAGCCACGCTGCAGCTGTATTATGGTTGTAGCACAGATGGGTCGGCTTGATTGGAGAAAGCAGCTTAAGTCAGTTGTGTTTCGTATGGTAAGTATAGAAAATTTTAGACCCTTTTTTCTTGATTAGAGGCATTGCGTCTTCGTCCTGAGGGGTGACAAAGCATCTGCATTTTGTCAATCGAGGATAAATGTAGTTGCCTATTAGCCACAGCATTCACTTATCATCAGGTGGACTGTGTGCTCGTTTGTCACCCTTATTCTATAACAAAACGTTGTGTTCGTCTGTGTGTCCAAGTATACCTAATGTAGAATTTTCTTTACCGTCATACTGATTGTAAATGGTGTTATTGTAATATTCATGATTGTTCAAGGTGCCACCACTGCAGTGCGAATCTGGTGGCAGCTCGGCAGACGGGTCCTCGAGCGAAGACGCTAGCGGTCCGTACGCCAGCGAGCACAGCGAGCCGCACGCTCGCAATGACGACGGCTACGAGGTGAGTGCAATGCCTTCTGATCCTAATGTACTCCAGATTGAACCTCGGTCACGGCGGCCAGTCTCAGCGGTGACTAACCATCTGCGTAGGACAGGATTATAGAGCACGAGTCCCAGTGCCTGATTTAAAGTTCCGATAGCCTTAGGCTAACTTATGAATATGCGCTCCCCTGCCCCGGCCTGTTCTGTGTGAGCATGCCCAGCACATAAATATATTTACTAGAATTTTATCGTTTACTAGATAATACTATTATTTATTTTGTGGTCTTACTAGCTTTCCACACCGCAGTTTCACCTACATTAAAATAAATTTTCCTGATGGTAACTGTCGACCATCGCCCATGAACAACTGCCGATAAGAACAAGAGCTGATCAGAAATAATTTGGTCATCGATGATTCAAGCCATTATTCGCTGGATGCTGTGGCAGTGGCTAGTGGCAGGAGCTGGCACTGGGGTGTCTCGGTCCAGAAATGAGAACAGTACTTTATGCCAGGGCGAACTTGCACTTTGTAAAGTTGCAAACGGCGGTGTACCGGCAAGAAATACTTTCTTCTCTGCTTAGCACGCCAAGCATTTTAGAGGTCAATTTAACCTTCTCTTTCATGTGATCGCGGAAGCCGAGCGTCATTCGATAAGTCGATGCCGAGAACACAGATGCTAGCTGAAGCAACATAGAGTGCGAAAGGGAGCATGGAGTAGAATTGATGAGATACGACAAAGAGGTTCTTTTTAGCGGTAAACGCGCAAACCTGTGTCATCTGAGAGTTAAACTGGACTAGAGTCGTCCTCAATCCGAGACTTTGTTTATTAAAGACAGCGTATATTTCAGACATAAGTTTGTTCCGATACTCGAGGAAGTGTTCCCGGGAAATATTAGCACAGCCAGTGTAAAAAACATCACCAGTGTTACAACCAGTAATAGCAACATATAATTGATATACGGAAGACACAGGGTTGGTAATAGCACGCAGCCTTGTAGAATACTAGCATTAATAGGCTCATAGTCAGAGTATGCACCGTCTACTACGACCTTAATGGCCCAACCTGATGAAAACTGATGATCCAATGGCGGCGCTGTCGTCGCGCCGCAAGGGAAACGCAACGAACCCTAAATCACCCTATCAATGTTCAGAAGTACTGAACTATATATAAAATAGTTCTGTACAAACACACGGAGCGTTAGCCGCTTCCCGTTCACCTTGTCCGTCGGGAGATCTCCCCTTTTCCTTCCACGGCCAAAATCCAATCGCACAATTACTCGGGAAGCCCATAGGAAGGAAGCCTCTAAAGAAGCTCTTTGTGCCAAAACCCATCGAAGGCCTTCGATATGTCCAAAGTAACGACAAAGGCTTTCTTCTTGGACTCTACTGCTTCCACTCACCTATGAGTCAGGTTAATTAGAAGATTGGAACTAGAAGCTGGTGGCCCTTTGGTTTAGAATAGATTCCATTATTACAATTTCATTCATTTAGGGGGTCATTGTAGAAGCGTGCTCGTCGCGACCCCTGCCAGCCCTTTTCAGGGCTGCAATTCTACTTAGCTGCGCACCCATGCCAACGAGGTTTAGGGCGTCCCCCCAAGGCGACGCACACCAACTCGTCCCCGTTGGTGTGGAATGCAGCGCGCAAAGCGGCGATGGGGACCGCCACCCGTCACGCACAGCCCGACACGGCGGAAGGTGGAGGACAGAGTGCAGAGTTGGCACGTGGAATGTTAGAGGAGGCATGCGAGATAAGACGAATGAGTTGATCGAAATAATGAAAGAAAGAGAATTAGATGTCGTGTGTATGTCGGAGACCAAACGGAAGGGCAGTGGTACTGAAGAGCTCCCTGGCGGGGCGTTAGCTCTATGGTCCGGAGTCCCGGAGAGCGAGAACGCCTGCCAGGGAGTGGGGGTGCTGCTGTCTTCTCGGTTGGTCGATGTTATGACTGAATATAAGGTTGTGAACTCAAGACTTCTCTGGGTTCGCTTTAAATTGGGACTGACGAAGTTATTCCTTTTGGCTGTTTATGCGCCGGTAGCTTCGTCGTCCAGGGCTGAGCTGGAGGAGTTTTGGGAGAATGTAAGAGAAGTTCTAGATTTGGCTAGGGGAAACGAAAGAATTGCTGTATGTGGTGATTTGAATGGATGGGTTGGTACCGCTCGACCAGGGTACGAGTCGGTACTTGGAAAGTTTGGCGATAAAAGGGTTAATGATGCTGGCAAGCTTATACTGGCGGTGTGCAAGGAAAAGGGTCTTCTTGTGACAAACACTATGTTTAATCACAAGAAAATCCATACGTATACTAGAGAACGAAAGAATGAGAGAAGTATGATCGATTTGTTCCTGGTGGATGACCGACTGCGAAAACAGGTGATGCATACGCGAGTGTTCAGGGGTGCTGACCTGGGAACGGATCACTATCTAGTGATTACTAGATTTAGGGGTCTGTTCGCGGGTTGGCGCTACCGGACGGCAGTAACAGAACCACAGTCGGTCTGTCGCATCCGAAGCTGGAAGCTTCAGGAAGCGGATACTAGGGACAAATATCATGCGAGGGTAGCCGAAAAGCTTGACACCATCGATGGCAGAAACGAATGTGTAGAAAGAACATGGCAGAACCTTAGGGATGGAATGGTAAGTGTAAGGCAAAATTTCCGATACCATCATCACCATCTCGATGCTTGGTGGTCCACCACTGTACGTTTTACTAGGAGTTTTCCTCCTCGTACTATCTCTGTGGAATAGTTAACCACCGGCCTTTTTTCCGGACCGATACGACTTAGGGACCTTCAAGAAAAGAGCTTATTACTTTCTAAAAGGCCGGCAACGCACCTGCGATTCCCCTGGTGTTGCAGTTGTTCATGGGCGGCGTTAGTCACTTATAATCAGGTGAACCGAATGCTCGTTTGCCCCCTCAACTATAAAAAAAAGTTTTGTAGAACAAGGAGGCGATGGTGATAAGCTTGTAGTTCGACGGGTCTGAGCGATCGCCTTTTTAGAGTTCGGATGGCATTAAAGCTGTCTTCCATAAGTACAAGATTACGCCTAGGGAGGTACTCCTACCGGAAAAAACTCTATAACCTACTCAACTTGTTGACGTCCATGGAGAGAAGTGTTTTGCACTGAGCGCTGTGGAAACTACATATCCAGAATGAAGTAATCACACCGCGGGATGGTAGGTGGCGTGAGTCATCGGGAGTTGAGTTGGACTCAAAAAGAGAGTTTAGGCTAGATCAATATTATCCTTTGCGGCATGGGCCAGTGAGTCGTTTTACCTGAGCAGAGATGGAATAGATGGCTGAAAGAAGTTAGAGGTAGAGTAGAGAGCTTGAACAGTTTAACATATTTACATCACGTCCAGTCAGTCAACGAAAGACGAAAAGTACTAAATAACTCAAAAAATTCAAATTCACAATTCAGGTTATCACAATATAAAGTTAATCAATAAAAAGTCAATAAAAAGTTGCGTAAAGACCTATTTAGCTATGAGATACATCATGCAAATTCTTATATAATTCAAAATGTCATAATTTACAATGTCAATGTCATAATTAAAATTTAAATACATTCAATCAGTAATTAAAGGTCAGATAAAATAGTGATACGCAGCAAGGACGTCCATCATGTGTCATAGTCATCACGTCAACATGCATATTATTATCATTTTGAAATTCCTTAACACTATAATAAAAAAAAATATTAGCCATCCACGTAACTTTTTGGTCATGAGACTCATAGAGCCGAGCTTGAACTGCTTTTTTAAATTTTATTAAATATTTTTACACACATGCAGTAACAACCTTTCTGATAGACAGAAGTATTTGCTTTATGGTCTATGACAAGCCGTTCAATATCTCTAGTGCTTCGTGGAAATATATCACAGGCTGACTTAAATAACTTTGTATGTTGTTTGAAAAAACAAATTACTTTACTAAAACTACAACAAATTTAAATATTTCTAATAAGCTGGGTATATTAACAGTCCCTGGCATGGGACTGTTAATATACCCAGCTTAATGAATAGGGGCTTGCCTGTATCAAATGGACCTTTACCGCATATAGCACGTATAAATTTTCTTTATGCGATGAGAACTCTATTTCCTTCAATGCTGTTGGCCTACAGAACCAGACCATAATTAATATTAGACGCGACGTAACCATAATAAACAGACATGGTTACGCTGAGAGTCGATATCTTAGTTAAACGAGGGCTGTCTCACTCCGCGCTTTAGGCATGAAAATATACCTACGCTGCGCGGTTGAAATAAAAAATTTTATACAACCGACTTCAATATTAATACGCATTATTAAGGATAACGCCAAAACTACTGGTCAGATCTTGATCAAATTTATATGAGATTTATAAAAATTATAAGCACCAGCTTTCAAATAAAAAAAAGAATCACCAAATAGATTCACCTAGAAGAAAGTTCTGAGATTCACACATAAAAAATACAGTCAAATTGAGTACCTCCTCCTTTTTGATGTCTGTTAAAAATGGTAAGTACGAGTAGGTAAATTATTTGAGTTTCAAAGATGTTCACGTTGTTATAATCTTAATTTTCCTCGATGTTGCATAGTATTAACCTTCCTCACATTGAACAATAAAGTTCTTATTATCAACAAATCGATGGCTCCGTGGCGCAGTGGCTTAGCAATTAGTTGCAACGCTGAGGCCACGGGTCCGAATCCCGTGTCTAGATGTTTGTCCTTGTGCAATTTATGTTTGTTAAATGCCTCCACGATACAGGAGAAAATCCTAGTGTGGGGGTAACATTCTTTTACCAAATTAAAAAATAAATAAAAGAAATACTTATACATTACATAAAACCTCGGTGTATTCTACTATATACTAACTAATATCAAAGGATAAAATTTGTTTTCTCACAACACCAAACCCAGCAGTAGAAGCGGTCTTAACAAAGGCGTGTAATAGGCTAAGTAATACAGACAGACAGTCGCACGCGGACGTAAGGTGCATAATTTTTTTGCGACGAAACAAACGGTAGGCTAATTTCACGAAAGTCACTTCCGAGGCGTGCAAAGTATTATGAACATTAGCGACGTTGTAAATAAGTTTAAACTCGCAGGCTTGCTATCAGAGAGTTATCCTTCTGTTCTTTTAACTATTATTTATTCTATTAACGAAACTTATTAATTTTATTACAAACTTTGTCAATGTGGCCTGTGAAATTTAAATTCTCATTAAGTACTATTGGGTATAGTTAAAATGAAACTATGGCGGCCCTTTCGATAGTTATATTTTTGTACAACACGTTCAGTCTTAGTTCACGGTTTAGTCTTATTTTTACAATCTATTTATTTGTTTTGTACCAAAACAGAAAGAAAGACAACAAGTAAAATACTTGCGACACTTACTCTATTATTTATTGACAATATAACCATTTTTATTCTGTATATAATTGATGCTTGCAAAGACAAGCTCAGCGCCACTTCGAACTTTGCGCCCTACGCCTGGTTAGCCTGTGGGTAAATCAGGCCCTGCCTATTCCGTCACTCTCATAGTCCGATGGGAAGGCAATCCAACCCGTTTTGAAAATATATCAGACGCAGGGCCAATGGCTATACGTGCGTTTCGAGGTACGGGGGTAAACACTGTCAACTTCCTGACCCGGACTTCTGTTGAGAATTTCTTGACATAAAAATTTAGTAACTTAGTTTGGCCCCGAGACTCGATCCCGGTACTACATGATCAGCGATTCATGATTAAAACGACTAGAACAGCGAGACGGGCAAATGATCTTTGATCTGCTGATTCTAATATTAGAGGATAGCCTTGCCCAAAAGTAAGTTATCGAATGTAGAAGGTGCCAATGATAGTGCATGTCGAACTCTTATGACTCCCGACCGTTAGTTGTAATGGTGTTAGTGTGATAGGGTGTATCAGTAAGAAAAGCTATAGTTGTAATTATTTTCTCTATAAGTTATTAATGTTGTACCAAAATTAGCAATATGACACATACATAAACACTGACGCCTGTCATCCACAGGATTAGACAGAGACTGCGGACTTCCATTTGGCGCGATCGTAACACACCTCTTTCGCCTCCTTTACATCCATACATACGCATATATGCTCGGCGATTAATAGTACTCTTAATATGGATCATCCTCAATATATCTCCAATTTGATCAATAAACTTTCGTCTAAAAAAGTGAACGGCAAAGCAGCCAATGGATGCCCCTTTGGCTGCTCTGCCGTTCAGTTTTGGAACTTAAATTTGTTTTGTCACTTTCTTTCATGCTTTCTACATGACCAAACCGCCGAAACATGCCTTTCTTAATTCTGGTCACAACCTCATCTTGATTCAAACCACGCTTCTTTTAGCACACAATTTCTCACCCTGTCATTAATTCAATAATAATATGTAAGGATTCATTAATTTAAATCATTACATGATTTTTTTTAATCAGCTGTATTGCTATAGTGAGATAATACGTTTTTTTTTAAAGAATTAGGGTGACAAACGAGCACACACTCCACCTGATTGTAAGTGGATGCTGTGGCCCATAGACACCTACATTTATCCTCGGTTTAGAATCAAAATACAGATGCGTTGTCACCCCTGAGGATTAAGATGGTGTGTACCTCCAGTAGCATTAAGATGCTATTTGACGCTGGTATTCTTTGAGAATAAATATATTAATAATTACAGACCTGTTGCAATAGTACTCATTTTATCAAAAGTTTTTGGCAAAGGAAAAGTAAAGAGACTTAATAACTTTATGGAAAATTTTAATGATATTAATAACGCACAAATTTGTTTTGTAAAAAATAAATCCACAACATTAGTGACCTTCCAACTCGTTTATTACAAAATGCATTAATGACGCACTGGTGATAGCTCTTTTTTGGGTTTGAGTAAAGCATTTGACTCTGTTCATCACGGAATACTTCTCAATAAACTCGAAAGATACCGAATACGTGGGAAAGTAAATGAATGGTTTAAAAGTTACCGGGGTCACAGACAACAATGCACCGAAATAACAAAGCTTAAAAACCTTAAAATTGTGCATATCCGGTCTGAATATAGGTTAAACAAATATGGTGCACCGCAAGGAAGTATTCTGGGTACTCTACTTTTTCTAATATATTTTAATGAGCTACCAACAACAAATCCTCATAAAACGATTCTTTTCGCTGATGACGCAACGATCATCTTAATTGTATGAACAAAAATATTTTTTGAATTTGATATCAATAGTACACTAAAAGATATAATTGATTCGTAGAACTCTCACAATATGACTGTAAATATAAATAAAACTAAAATAATGCAATTTCACACGATTAGAAAAGAAAGAAAACTAATTTAAATATAAAGTATAATGAAAAAGTGCCACAAGATGTTGGTTATTATAAGTTTCTTGGTATTACTATTGATAATAATTGTAATTGGAAAATGCATGTTCAATCGATGTGTGACAAATTAAACAGTATTTGCTCTTCGTTGACTTCGGGAGATAGCATCTGCCAAAGCAGCGTTAAACGCCTATCATGGCTATGTCTCATCGATATTCCAGTACGGACTTCTGATATGTGGCAACTGTTCTGAAATAGAACGCGTATTTAGAATTAAAATAAATGCATTCGAGCAATCTGTGGAGCACATTCCATGGCATCGTGCAAGCTATTATATAAAGAAATAAAAGTGTTACCACTCGCATGTACATATGTATAGAAAACAATCCGCGATTTTTGTCAAGTAATTCCCTGAATACTTCTTAACAAACTTCATGAATGGCTCTTACTTAATTGTTTTTATACCGTTAATGAGTATCTTGATTATAAAAATCAAAGTAAATTACATATTTAAATATCTGTATCTAAACTGCTTTAATTTTTTTCTGTGAGTAAATAAAATAAGACTTCGATAGAATATTTATTCGTTGGTTATTTTTACTGTTTTTACATGTACATATCTACACATTTTTGTAAACGATTGTGTGACATTGTATTTCGTAATTATTCATTTGACATTTATTTTATTATTAATAAGTCATTTTTATTTATATTAGTTAACTAAAATTCATCAATAATTATTGTAAAGAAAATGTATTACAACTTATAACTATTCAGTCAAAATTTGCACGCCTAAATAAGACAGAATGTATCGGAACTTTTATGTTTTAATAATACTTTTGTAATTTCTATCTACATTCTATGCAAATAAATAATTATGAATTATGAATAAGTTTTCCTTCTCCGATCGAACCGACCCATCCGTGTTACAAAATGATATAGCTGCATCATGGCTCTACCCAAAGAGATTTAAATATATAGGTATTCTTAAATGTCTTTGGCTCTACCACTTAAAAGATAGCTTCGTATTACCTGAAGATATTTCTAATGATGAATACAGTAATGTGTATTTAACTAATGTTCATTATTTCCATCCGCAGGCAGATGTCGAGATCGGGAAGTTGGACGCGTCCCAAGCCTACAAGTCACGGAAACTCTCTGATTCCATATCCGTTCTGAGTAGCCTGTCTGGTGAGTCTCAAATTCCATATGTTGAGTTAAGAATAATACGTGAAGGTGTGGTAATCATTTTTCAACGATTTTGGTTAATATATATCTTAGTAAAATGTAATATACATTTTGCACTGGAAAACCTCTAATTGTTTGTTGGAAATATAAATAAGAATGCTACTCGTAAAAATCACTCAAAATTATAATTATAATATAGAGTGAGAAATACCTCCATTTGAATTTGGTGAAAAGTGACGTATTAAATATTGAAAATTGAGAGTGTAAAATATGTAACGATTATTGCTTTACATACTGAGACTTGTTTATAAACACTCACGCCCATCACCCAGAGAGCTAGGCAGAGGCTACGGAGGCACGCTGACACACATTTCTCGCCTCCTATACATACATATTCCTACGCTTACATGCTCGGCGATTAAGGGTACTGTTAACTTAACCCATGTTCAATATATCGCCAATTTGATCGATAAACCTCCGTCTTGGGATTCCTTTTAGGGATAACAATTCGCTAAATATGGGCTCTAGAACAAACAGTTCTCGAAGAAGAAAGAAAGAGATAGAGATGATAATCAAAATCAATGCTGGGATGCAGTAGTAGGCAGAGACCACTTCTTTCCACTTGCTACGATTCTTACGTACTTGTTTCCCTTCGTCCACTTTCATTATTCTCTTCATACATGCTCTACGGTTTAGTGTGCTTTTGACCTGGCCTTTTTTCAAAACGTCCCTGATTTGGTCTAGAAACGTCCGCCTAGGTCTACCCCTTCCAACACTTTCATTCACACTCGCCTTATACACTTTTTTCGTCAATCGTTATTCATTCATTCTCTCGACATGGCCAAACCATCTCAACATACCTTTCTGAATTTTTGTCACTACATCTTCTTTCAGACCACAACGTTTCCTTATCTCGCTATTTCTTATACTGTCACGCAATTTAACTCCTATCATACTTCTTAACGCTCTCATCTCAACTGCATTTATTCTGCTTTCGTGTTTCTTCAGCCATACCCAACTTTCACTTCCGTACATGAGTGTCGGAACCTCACACTTTCCATCTCTTGTAAACTTTGAACCCAGATACACAAACTCTTTCACCTGTTCAATTTGTTCATCTACAATCACGATATTGCAGTCTGTCACTGACTCATCTCTTTTAAACACCATCACTTTCATCTTCCTTATATTCATCTTCATTCCTTTTTGCTTGGGTATGGATAAACGGGGCATACACTGAATGGTTTAATATCGAAAAAGGTGTTAGACAGGGATGTGTAGCGTCACCGTGGCTGTTTAATCTGTTCATGGACAATTGTTTGACAGATTTAAAAGAGAATAAAAGTGGGTTGAGAATGAATGAGTTACTCGTCAAATCTTTTCTCTATGCTGATGATCATGTATTACTTGCGTCTTCGGGCGAGGAGTTGCAGGAGATGGTAACTACTGTGAGTTTTGTTACTCGTAATATTTAAACGCAAAAAGTGTTAATTTAATTAGTAGTCATACGACTTCTTTAATTTTTATAACTATTGAATTTTATTAAGTATAAGTTACATACAAATATGAACTAACGTTAGTCTCTGTCAAAGCGTTTCACGTGTGGTGTTTCCGTATCGCGTTACACCCGAGGCGTCATCAACGCAACCGCCTTGTCACGGACACCTCAGTAAATGTACCGCAAGCTTGCTAGGTTTTGTGGTAATCATACCCAATGATAAACAGATAAATATATACATTATCTATCTATATATATACTAGCTTCTATTAAGCTCAAGGGGTTATATGCTTTAAATAACCATTTTTAAAAATATTTGTCTGTCTGTCAGTTCGTCCGAGCTTATTTTAAAAATGGCCGAACCGATTGTGAGGAACTACTAACAGACGGAAAGCAATTCCAGGAGGGATCTAAGCTATGTTTTATCCGAAAATCTTGAAGATATTTTTTTCGTGATGTCGGATATAAGATCTGTATAGATTACGTGTGAACGACATAGTCGGGAAGGGTCGCCCTAGGCGAAAGTTTATCGACCAAATTGGCGATATATTAAAAATGGGCCAACTCAAGAGTACCTTTAACCGACGAGCGTGTATGCGTAGGTATATGGATGTGGAGGAAGCGAGAGAGGTGTGTCAGGATCGTGCCAAATGGAAGTCCATAATCTCTGCCTACCCCTCTGGGTGACAGGCGTGAGTGTTTATGTATGTATAGATTATATTATGTAAAATGAGGCGGAATCAAATTAGGCTTGATGTTTTAATCGGTTAGATGTGGAATCCTTCGATTGGATGTAACATAAACAGAAAGTAAAAACTATAATTTTATATTTGTAATTACGTAACAGCACATCAACTCCAACACTACGGTTGTTTACTACAAGAAGTCATACAAGCTCTACTCTTATAACCTATGTTTCAATTGTGACATTAGTTAATTTATTTTACTGATCAATGTGTGAAATGTTCGCTATTGTGCGAGAGACCCATTTTCAGCGGTTGTTGTATGTATTATTGATATAATGCAAGTTTTTTATTTTATTTTGCATGTTTCAGTTCTTGATTATTAGTTGTTCCAGATAATCAGTTCCCAATGGAAGCTCTTAGTCTGGAATGCATGGATCAGGACAAGAGCGGTGAGCTAGCGCATCCTGAGCTATGTGTCATAGTGGTCGATATTCTCACGCAGCTTATACAAAAGTAAGTGATTTACTATGACCTTATGTCTTGGAACACGAATTTTTCGCTTTGGATTGTGATGTGTCGTGGTTGCCCCTGTGTGTCTGATACTTTATCACAATACACATATTACCTATTCTTCAAAAGTCATTATCAAGCAGTTCATGAAGCTGATAAGTATAGTGGGCCTGTGTTAGCGGGTGCTTTAATATCTGTTGTGTTTTTAATATGTAGTGTTTTAATATGTCTCACCCAGTTGTTAATTGTTGACACTATCTTGAGGTATCAATGTGATTTTTTGTGTATTTGTTTGAAAAAACATGATTAGGAGGGCGACACTGAAAGTTTTTAGAACTGGCCACTTATAAACAAGATAATTAAAAAATAAGTTAAAATTTTGAAAATGGAACTCTTTGCCAATATTATTGTGTATGCATTTTATTAATTTGTTGTTTGTGTCACGTCAGCATGAATTGAACGCGAGAAAATTTTCCTATAATGATTTTTTATGACTTTCGATGTCATTTAAGTTATCAAGAAAGTTATGATATATTTCGATTGGCTTTTTACGATGAAGCCCCCATCTCGTGCCACTGTTTACAACTGGTTTAATGAGTTTAAACGTGGTCGCGCACTAATATCACCGATGATCTGCATGAGGGACGGCCTTCTACGGCGACGACTGAAGTCAACATTAGTGTTGTGCGGCGTATAGTAGAGTCTGACAAAAAGAGAGACTTATCAGTAGATTCGGACAAGCTTAGGTATCGGTATGAGTCAAGTGCACAAAATCCTCCATGAACATTTAGCGTTCAAGAAGCTTTGTGCCCGGTGGATATCTCATAATTTGACAGGGGCCCAAAAACTCCGTCGTGTTGATTGGTGTCGTGAAATGGTTCAAAGATTTAACGTAGGTGACTCAAATGCTGTATTCGACATACTTACGGGTGACGAAAGATGGATTTGTTATGATCCTGAAACTAACAGACAGTCTTCTGTCTGGGTGTTTCCTCCCGAGGAGTTGCCAGCTAAAGTGAAGATAAGTCGAAGCGTGGGAAAAAGATGGTGGCCTCGTTCTTCGGAAGGACAGGTCATTACGCAACAACTGTTTTAGAGGATCGAAAAATAGTTACTGCAGAATGGTACACTAACAATTGTTTGGCACTTGTCTTGGAAAAAGTTCGGGAGAAACGACCTCGCAGTAGGATCTTCCTTCAACGACAACGCCTCGTCCCACACCGCCAAGCAAACAATCGACTAATTGACGATGTCAGACGTAGAATTACTGTGCCGCCTGCCTTATAGCCCCGATCTTGTGGTTTTTATTTATTTCCGAAAATAAAAGAAAAACTTCGTGGGAAACGTTTTATGGACGCCGAGTTGCGTTTCAAAATACCGTCGAAGAGACTTCTAAGGACGAGTGGGCAAAGTGTTTTTTTCAGTGGTTCCATCGGATGTAGCGATGTATTGATGTAAATGGACACTATTTTGAAAAGATATAATAAAACTAATAACTTGCTAGTTTGTTCAGTTTTTGATTTTTTAAGAACTTTCAGTGTCACCCTCGTAATTACAATATAAGGATAAGAATAATATTTGTTAACTTTTAACATAATATAGACTAATAATGAATGTATGGTTATAGGGAGGATATAACAATTTTTTTAAGTCTATCTCATTTGCATGTCGTGCAGTTTGCTAATCACGGAGTCTTCTCGTTTGAAAAATGTACCATATGTACCATAATATACCATATATTAAAGGAGAAGTAGTTTGAAGAAGAACCAGGAGCTAGGGATTTTCAATAAAAGAGTTCATGAGCGGCGGTAGTTACGTACCATCAGGTGAGCAGCGTGCTCGTTTGCTCCCTCTTGTATTGAAAAAAAAAATAAGTATGTGAGCGTGAGTTGTCCGGCAGGGTGATGGACGCCGAGGAGCAGGGTGCGAGTGGTGTGAGTGGTGCGGGCGGTGCGGACAGTGCAGACGGCGGTCCGGAGAAGCTGGAGCGCGTGTGCAGCGGGCTGGCGCGTGCGCTCAGTGCGCGCCTCGCGGGGGGCGCCGCGCACTCAACGCCCCCCGCGTCCCCCGCACCGCCCGCACCCCCCAGGCTACTGCGCGCGCTGCTGGCGCCCGCAGTGCGCCGCCTGCTGAGCACCGCCCACACGCGACCCACGCGCTACGGTACGCACGCAAGATCACACATGCACACGCACAGTCTGCATATAATTCCAGTCACGACAGTCAGTCTCGTTAAAATATAGATTATAATGCAAATACATAAGTACTACACTACATCTACTTACTTTCAAAGTCTAATGAAAATAAATTCGATTTAGATACCGGAATAACATCAAGCACAAGACACTTAATACAACTTAAGTTTATTCGTCCATGTTAAACAACTGAGAATTCGTATCTACCAAAAAATATTTTGGACAAATTAAAACATACAATAAGTCAAAAAACTAAAATATAAACAAAACAATGAATAAGAAACTGAATAATAAACAAAAAGTAAGAATATAATATGGCGCAAGTGCAGTTTTGTTTTTTGAATTAGCGATAAAATTTAAACAAGAATATTTCTCAGCACCACAAATAACTGAAGAATCATTTAGTTACTCGTTGTCTTAAATTGAACATAAGATACCGAATAGAAATATACAGTAATACAACCTACACTACAAGGAAAATTAAATTACATATTGTTATATTTATATGTCTTCGCCACTAAAAATAGTATACTTTCTGTAACACGCACCGTCCAGTTGCATTAGTCCAGACACAATAGTAAAATTATATGACCAATAGGATTTGGGTCTCGAAGTCCCGGGACTTTTCGTAATTTTAGTTGTCTCGAGTCCCGGGACTTTCGGATCGAGACTCAAGACGAAACAAGATTGTCGAAATTGTTATGTAATCATTTTTATTTTCAAATAATTGAAAAAATTGAAGCGCCATGTGTTAGTTTAATGAATAATAATTACTTGGTCTACTACGTAACTACTGAGTACGCAACACAATAAATGAAACAAATATGTGATTATGAGAATTGACAATGAGATTATGAACTATGATTAGATACTAGAATTACTAGATAATAGTAAAGTTATTAAGAATTAGTATGATTTTTAACTATGTTCGTTTAATAACTATAAAATTTAACTGTTTAGAAGTGCATCTGTGTGTGACTAAAAGAAATAACAAAGCAATTAATAAGACTGAAATTAACGTCAAAGTTATTTAATTTTCTGTTTAATTGTTTAATAAATGTTGATTTTTACAAAAAAATTGCCTCTTTTTAATACGTTTCATCAGAAATTAACTCAATTAAAAATCTTCAAAAAAGGCTTACCCATCTTAAAAAAAAAAACAAAAAAGTTTTTTCTTAAAAGTCTCCAAGTCCTGGGAATCCCCGGGACTTGGATTATAGGCTATCCCGTGTCGCGGGACTTTGAAATTGTCGGGAATTCCCAAACCATAATGACCAATGACCTATATATAGTGCACGTGACAGCAAAAGGGTAAATATTCATAAAAAAGAAAAATACTGTAGCATCTTCTTCGAAGTTTTCAAAAAAGATGTTCAATCACACGTACTACAAAAGTAAAGCTCCGTCAAACATATGGTTTATTCATTTAACTAAATCGTTTATGTCCAAATGTATCAGGTGATTAGCCACAGTCACCAATTTAACCAAAAAATAGACAAAGTTAACTACTTTTACGCTAAATTTTACGTTGTAAATTATTACTAAATTCATTGTTTACATGCATAAAATCGCTAAAAGTTAAGTTAAAAATTTGTTAATTAATTAACTACCAATTTATTGATGACCACTACACCAAAAGTAAATTGTACAGTTTAATGCACGTAACCGTATCACTATTTAAAAAAAAATACAGTGATTGTTAGTGAAATCCGTATCCGGCTTGAAGGACCGACATACAACAGTTTAATTATTATAGACGTTGAAAATTAATTAGTTAAGATAAGCCTAGATCGAATCTAGATTGATTTTTACCTAGATTGAAGAGCACTAACACCACTAGTGGTGGTGACGGGAAGTGCTGTTCAGTCTAAGTAAGACACATAATTTCATTTTGTTATGCAGATTTTAGCTAATTAATTTTTAATAACTATAATATAATGGATTTTTTTTATAGAATAAGGGTGACAAACGAGCACGCAGTCCACCTGATGGTAAGTGGTTGCTATGGCCCATAGGCATCTACATCTATCTTCGTTAGCGAATCAAAATGCAGATGCGTTGTCACCCGTGAGGACTAAGATGGAATGCCTCTTTTTCACTAAAATGGTTCTCCGGTTCTCTACACTCACCATACGAAACACAGCAGCATTAAGCTGCTATTTTACACTGGTATTCTGTGAGAGCGTGGTCCTGCCCCGGTCGAGCCGACCCATTCGTGCTACAACTATACTATTAATATAGCTGCAGCATGACTACCACGTGATAAAAATATCGCAAAGTGATTATTCTATTAATTAGTTTAATTTTTAACAAAAACTTTTCTTTGTCTCCATAGAACTTCAAAACAGCGTTCTAGAGCTGATACACGTGGTGGCTTCACAGAACATAGAACCGCGCGAGCTAGCTGCCCTTCTGCAGCTGTTCACAGCGGACTCTCCGCCCCTGGGCCCATTGTTGAATATGTTACAAAAACTCGTGGACAACGCGAAGCCTTGCACGCCGGACTTTCAATTAAGTTTCCCGATACAATTAGAAGCGAATGCCTTCGACGGTTAGTATCTCACGATTGTTAATTAAAATAAAATAATTTTGAGATTTTGCACATTTAAAAATAATTTTAAATAAATATACGACAGTCAATTTCTGCTTGATGTTATTTTGCTATACTTACTTCTAAACTCAATTACGTAAAAAAAAAACAATAAATTTTTAAACTATTGTTTTTTTTTAATATAGATAAATTATTAGGGTCTTGCAACTAAAGAGAACATTTATCGCATTGTAATATAATTACTATATTGCACGCCGCATAACGCAAAGCGTGTTAGGTAGTGCACGACACGTCAAGGTCAAGCAATTTTGTGTTCTTAAAATGCCTCTGTCATAACCATATTGCACTTATACGATATTATGAGCTGTATATCAAGAAAACACTCTAATTAATCCATCTTATATTTTCTAGAAAATCATTTCTTTGAAAAAAAAAAGGCTTGAAAAAAATTTTACGTGGACGTCCCGACGTTGATTTTGGTATGTAGTCACGACAACTCCCGAAAAAAAATCACTTATCGAGACCGGGTTTTTTTTATTAGCTTCAGAATTACATTAACTGGTTCCCTATTTGATATCAATAGCCTAGAGTGCGCAGTTTGTTAATAAAATTAAAGTTAAATTAAAGTTTTATTGCTATTAAAAATTTAAAGGCGCTTTGATATACTTTTTTAGCCCTTCATAGACAAAGGACAAATGCAGCATATATCGATTTTATACTTTGTGTAATCGATTTATTATGGCAAATATTATTATTTTTTTTTTCCTTTAGGTGACACCTGTTAAAATAATAGACCGCTAAATTTAAAGCATGTAAATAATATATTTTAAAATTCAGGAATACAATATTTTTTTGTATCAAAATAAATAAAACGCGCTCATGAGGCGTGCACTTTTGAATTTTCCAAAATGTTTTCGTTTTATTTTCGAGCCTTGGAATTACATTGTTGCGCATAATAATTGAATACAATAATTTGTTGACATCCAGAGTCTGAAGACTTTGCGGAAGAGAATGCAGTCCGCAGTAAGTCGACCGACGTGAACACAAGTCGATTGCAGCGCGCACATCAGCGCACCGGTGAGAATTTTTGATGACTTTGACACAGATGACTCGGATATCTCTCGACACCTATAGAAAATATATAAAATCTAAACCATTCTCGAATAAATTAATCACCCACACAAAATTTGATTTAAATCTGTCCAGTCGCATAGTAGGAGTTCAGTCACGTACACACAGACAAAATTTTTTTATACGTCAATATAATCAATCAATATAAGTATAGGCGGTAATTAAACCAATGAAGTTGAAATATTTCTCGATTTTTGATTATTCTCAAAATATATCTGCAATCATTCTGTAATAGTTTTTTTAACATACTAAAATGAAAACGGGCTATCTTATTAGATACCTATAGAAAAATATTTCTTATCTATAGAAAATAGACTGAACTCCTTCTATACGACTGGACAGATTTTGATGAAATTATGTGTGGGTGGTTAAATTATTCGAGTATGGTTTAGATTCACAATTGGACCCAGTAGGTGGCGCTGTTGTCGAGATCCAAAAATCACAAGTGCGAAGCAGGTGCGGATCCCTAGTATATCTTAATATAAATAAATATGGCACTTGTATATCTACTAGACACAGCTTGTTTTTTTTCTTCTGACAACAATTGAAAGGTTCAATTTACTTAAAAAAAATTCAACACCTCAAGCACCTAAATTTAATATTAAGAAAAGGTGATACAAATGTATATACGTTCCACTACTGAAAGCCAACTTCTCTAATTTCTGCGAGTGATGATACGCTGATATTATCCTAAGGCACTTGAGTGTATAATACCTATTCGTAATTTGTAATCGATTTAAATTTTTTGTGGGTTTAGAGGGCGCTTGTGGACGATTTCGCTGTGCTGCGCGCTGTAGTCTGGAGGGCGCGGGCTGGGCGCCCTGGTTGCAGGGCTTCGCCCTCGTGCTGTGGTTGCAGCTGCTCACTGGTAACCAACTAATGACGGCTGATAACCTTACGCTTGCCAGATGTCTCTAATTAGCACTTAGGTGAACTTATTTGTTACGCAGATGTACACACAGTCAACTTTTCCATCATCATGGAAAAGTTGTATTTTGAATAAAAGTTTTTTTTTATCGTGTATTATACATAAAACAATGCCTCAGTGCTGTTTTCTTTAATTTTTTTACACACATTTTACTTTTTTTAATTCTTTTAACATTTCCTCCTCCAGATTGCCTCATAGGGGGAATATTTGCCATTGTTGCCATGCTTGGCAAAAGGGTTATCAACCGCAGTTTTTTTTATTTTTAGTCGTTATTAGAAAAAGACGCTGTTGGCTATCTCCTGATCTGTTTTCCTCTGTCGCCCCTTACGACACCCACAGGATGTTATGGATAGTGGATATTCTTACACCGCCACTACACTGTAATTTTCTTAATTTAATTTAATTTAATTACTATTAATTAATTATAACAAATACTTACAAAATTTTACAAGACGTTTAGGTAGTGTAATCAAAGATCCGCCTGGCAAGTGAGACGATTTCGACAAATAATTTCTATAATCGGAGAATCTTATAGGTATTTAGTAGCGGACTAGGTATTTATTTATTTAATAAGGTTCAATGTAGAAATAAATTTGTTGGGACAGACGACAAAACACAGGGGAAAGAGGAAGCAGAAGGTGACGAAGAGCAGGCGCGGCGTCGGGCCGCCGAGTGCGACGAGCAGCTCGGCGAGCAGTTCGATGAGCGCGCCGACTCGCACAAGCTGGCGCACGTGCTGTCGCTGGGCCACGAGGCGCTCATGCTCGAGCTCTGGCTGCACGTAGCCACCGGTAACTTAACATGCCTTACGCTTTACCTATCACATTTTTAAACACAAATTTACGATGTTTTATTATTGTGTATATTATATTTGTAGGCTTAGATAATTATCACGCTAAATAAAAAATATCTTGCTCGAAGGACCATGAGCATGCCCAAGAAAATAATGCAAATCGGTACTACGTTATTTAAACAGTTAATACTTTAGTTTATTAATAAGAAGTAAAATATCAAATCTCTTAATAATATGATGAACAAAAAAAGCGTAAATATAAACATTATATGCTAATTTGAAACTTATAGTGCTTCCACACAAACGATGCTTACTAGTTACATTCTTAAGAAGTGACCAATATGCTTTGAGATGCACTTTAATCATAACATAGTTATGGTTAAATCCGTCCTTATAATGATTTATAGTTTATACTATAAGGATGTTCAAAGAATACTTCAGAAAGTAAGTGTTTATCACATCATTTTAGTGTGTGATTTATACATTGAAAAGGCAACGAAAGATGATTTAAAAAAAACATTTTTAATTATGATTTCGAGGCGACGATAAAATTAAAATGTCTGTTAGTAATGTCAAAATAACAGCTTTTTATTAAATGTATATGAAAGTATTTACGGTACTTATAAAAAAAACAACAATTCTTAAAATTGTTGCCTGTCTGTCTGTCTGTCTGTTTGTTCCGGCTAACCTCCGAAACGGCTGGACCGATTTGACGGGACTTTCACTGGCAGATAGCTGATGTTATAAGGCGTAACTTCATCATCATCATAATCATTACAGCCCTTCACAAGTCCACTGCTGAACATAGCCACTAGAACCTCCCCCCAAGGAATGCCACAAAGCACGGTCCTGAGCCACCTGCATCCATCAACTTCCTGCATGTCTTACCAGGTCGTCACTCCATCTAGTGAGGAGACGCCCTACACTTCACTCTGGTTCTAATGCGGATATCCTCATTTCTAAGTTTATCACGCAGAAAAACTCCGAGCATAGCACACTCCATAGCTCGCTGAGCGACCTTGAGCTTCCTCATCCGGCCAGCAGTGAAGGACCACGTCTCAGATCCATAGGTCATCACTGGCAACACGCGCTGGTTGTACAGTCTCGTTTTCAATCTTCAAGTTTTGAGGTATACCTCAAAACTTGAAGATGTGCCGTAATTTCCCGAAAGCTGCCCAGCCGAGTTAAATCCGTCGACTGACCTCTCGGTCGAAGTTGAACTTACCTAGTCGGACTATTTGTCCCAGGTAAACATACAGGTCAACAACTTCGAGCTTAGTGCTCATAACAACTACCGGCATAGGTGTGACATGGACGTTAAACATGACCTTTTTTGTCCATGTTCATCTTAAGACCTGTCCGTTGGAAGGCACTATTGAGGTCATAGAGCATAGTGCTGAGGTCCTCCAGCGGTTCTCCCATAAGGATTATATCGTCAGCAAATCGAAGAAGAGTGATGTACTCGCCGTTGATGTTAATACCGTATCCTTTCCAGTCCAGAAGCTTGAAAACGTCTTCCAATGCAGCGGTGAAGAGTTTCGGAGATATAACGTCACCCTGTCTTACACCTCTCTGCAGTTGGATAACTTTCGTACTCTGGTTCTGTACTCGGGTAGCCATCGTAGCACTACTGTACAAACACTTCAACACTTCGATATACCGACAGTCAACTTGGCACCGCTGAAGGGACTGCAGCATCGCTCAAATTTCTACGGAATCAAAGGCTTTCTCATAATCCATATTCTTCAGACTTCTGTACAATTTGTCGAAGGGTATCACATACATGGCCTATGGTGCTAAAGCCTTTTCGAAAACTGGCTTGTTCGGGAAGCTGGAAGTCGTCGAGTCATCATATATTTTTTTATATTCGATATCAATGGCTAACACCAAAATATTGCATTATGTTTTTGTTCAGGCGTTACTCTAAAAAAATACAAAAGCCTATTTATCTACAAAATTCGTAAATGCATGTAATTAAATGACGATACAATAGTTATGGGATGTATCGAAGTGACCTTTATCCGAACGTTAAATGTGAATAGCGTTTATTGGTTTCGGTGCGAGAAGTTATCGAATCCGAGTCGATTTCGCTTTCCGAGACGATTGTGAATAGCCCGGCAGGTCCACTTCCTGTGGGGCCGCTTCTGAAAGAAAGAGTTCATCATAAAGAGTCCCTCTTTCTCCATGAAGTCGGCCAGTTGCTGACCCCTTGAGTTCCGTTGCCCTATTCCAAATTTCCCTACCTTCAGTTCACCGTTCTCTATTGTGCCTTGTTTTGCATTGAAATCTCCCATTAACACCATGTAGTGGGTTTTGGAGGAATGCATGGCTCTAGAGATATTTTCATACATTTCCTCCACCTCCTCGTCGGGATGTGTCGAGGTTGGTGCGTACACCTGTATGGCTTTCAGCGAATACCATTTGGTGATTCTGAGTATAAGGTACACAACCCTCCTCGACACACTCTTAATCTTTTAACGAGAGACTTGTGGACGATAAATCCGACACCTCCTTGGGACAGATGGTCGCCTTCCCGGTGATAGAACAAGTTGCAGGATTCGAGGATTACCATGTCCTCTCACTCTCTTCGGACTTTAGATAATCCTATAATATTCCAGCGCAACTTGTCTATCTCTTCATTTAGCTCCAGGATCTTTTCGTCAGTCCTCAGGGTGCGTGCGTTATAAGTTGCCAGGTCGAGTCGTCGTAGGTGGCAACCGAATCTCCACTGGAGATTCTTAACACCCCCTGTCCCACCGTTACCATGGTCCGCACGTAACCAGGAATAGCGGGGTCGCTGGGGACTGGGGGGCGTCTTTTTGTAACTTTCTTCATGGGGGGTATATTGCCATAGTTGCCATGCTTGGCAAGTGAGATTGTTTGAGATTGAAACTTGAAATGATCATCATCATTACAGCCCTTTACATGTCCACTGTTGAACATATGCCTCCCTCAAGGAACGGCACAAAGCACGGTGTCTTACAAGGTCGTCATTCCTTAGTGGCGGACCGTCCTATACTGCGCCTACCGGTAAGAGGCTGTCACTTGAGAACTTTTCTTCCCAACAGGTGTCGGTTCTTCGAGCTAAATGGCTTATTGCCACTTATGCTTACTAATCCGTTAACTAAATTAGTAAAGTTGAAATGATCCATTGGAATGATGGTGTATTAAATAAAGGATGCGTATATGTGGTGTATAGGCGGGCTGTGGGTGCGGCTGTCGCGGGGCGGCGCGGTGCTGTGCAGCGGGCGCGCCGCGTGCGCGCTGGCGGCGCGGCGCTGGACGTGCGTCGCGCTCAACGTGCGCGAGCTGCTGCTGCGCCGCCGCCTGCACGTGCAGGTGACGCGCACACGCACGCACGCATGCATACACACATACACACACACACGCACGCACGCACACACACGCGGTGCTGTGCAGCGGGCGCGCCGCGTGCGCGCTGGCGGCGCGGCGCTGGACGTGCGTCGCGCTCAACGTGCGCGAGCTGCTGCTGCGCCGCCGCCTGCACGTGCAGGTGACGCGCACACGCACGCACGCATGCATACACACATACACACACACACGCACGCACGCACACACACGCGGTGCTGTGCAGCGGGCGCGCCGCGTGCGCGCTGGCGGCGCGGCGCTGGACGTGCGTCGCGCTCAACGTGCGCGAGCTGCTGCTGCGCCGCCGCCTGCACGTGCAGGTGACGCGCACACGCACGCACGCATGCATACACACATACACACACACACGCACGCACGCACACACACGCGGTGCTGTGCAGCGGGCGCGCCGCGTGCGCGCTGGCGGCGCGGCGCTGGACGTGCGTCGCGCTCAACGTGCGCGAGCTGCTGCTGCGCCGCCGCCTGCACGTGCAGGTGACGCGCACACGCACGCACGCATGCATACACACATACACACACACACGCACGCACACACACGCGGTGCTGTGCAGCGGGCGCGCCGCGTGCGCGCTGGCGGCGCGGCGCTGGACGTGCGTCGCGCTCAACGTGCGCGAGCTGCTGCTGCGCCGCCGCCTGCACGTGCAGGTGACGCGCACACGCACGCACGCATGCATACACACATACACACACACACGCACGCACGCACACACACGCGGTGCTGTGCAGCGGGCGCGCCGCGTGCGCGCTGGCGGCGCGGCGCTGGACGTGCGTCGCGCTCAACGTGCGCGAGCTGCTGCTGCGCCGCCGCCTGCACGTGCAGGTGACGCGCACACGCACGCACGCATGCATACACACATACACACACACACGCACGCACGCACACACACGCGGTGCTGTGCAGCGGGCGCGCCGCGTGCGCGCTGGCGGCGCGGCGCTGGACGTGCGTCGCGCTCAACGTGCGCGAGCTGCTGCTGCGCCGCCGCCTGCACGTGCAGGTGACGCGCACACGCACGCACGCATGCATACACACATACACACACACACGCACGCACGCACACACACGCGGTGCTGTGCAGCGGGCGCGCCGCGTGCGCGCTGGCGGCGCGGCGCTGGACGTGCGTCGCGCTCAACGTGCGCGAGCTGCTGCTGCGCCGCCGCCTGCACGTGCAGGTGACGCGCACACGCACGCACGCATGCATACACACATACACACACACACGCACGCACACACACGCGGTGCTGTGCAGCGGGCGCGCCGCGTGCGCGCTGGCGGCGCGGCGCTGGACGTGCGTCGCGCTCAACGTGCGCGAGCTGCTGCTGCGCCGCCGCCTGCACGTGCAGGTGACGCGCACACGCACGCACGCATGCATACACACATACACACACACACGCACGCACACACACGCGGTGCTGTGCAGCGGGCGCGCCGCGTGCGCGCTGGCGGCGCGGCGCTGGACGTGCGTCGCGCTCAACGTGCGCGAGCTGCTGCTGCGCCGCCGCCTGCACGTGCAGGTGACGCGCACACGCACGCACGCATGCATACACACATACACACACACACGCACGCACACACACGCGGTGCTGTGCAGCGGGCGCGCCGCGTGCGCGCTGGCGGCGCGGCGCTGGACGTGCGTCGCGCTCAACGTGCGCGAGCTGCTGCTGCGCCGCCGCCTGCACGTGCAGGTGACGCGCACACGCACGCACGCATGCATACACACATACACACACACACGCACGCACACACACGCGGTGCTGTGCAGCGGGCGCGCCGCGTGCGCGCTGGCGGCGCGGCGCTGGACGTGCGTCGCGCTCAACGTGCGCGAGCTGCTGCTGCGCCGCCGCCTGCACGTGCAGGTGACGCGCACACGCACGCACGCATGCATACACACATACACACACACACGCACGCACACACACGCGGTGCTGTGCAGCGGGCGCGCCGCGTGCGCGCTGGCGGCGCGGCGCTGGACGTGCGTCGCGCTCAACGTGCGCGAGCTGCTGCTGCGCCGCCGCCTGCACGTGCAGGTGACGCGCACACGCACGCACGCATGCATACACACATACACACACACACGCACGCACACACACGCGGTGCTGTGCAGCGGGCGCGCCGCGTGCGCGCTGGCGGCGCGGCGCTGGACGTGCGTCGCGCTCAACGTGCGCGAGCTGCTGCTGCGCCGCCGCCTGCACGTGCAGGTGACGCGCACACGCACGCACGCATGCATACACACATACACACACACACGCACGCACACACACGCGGTGCTGTGCAGCGGGCGCGCCGCGTGCGCGCTGGCGGCGCGGCGCTGGACGTGCGTCGCGCTCAACGTGCGCGAGCTGCTGCTGCGCCGCCGCCTGCACGTGCAGGTGACGCGCACACGCACGCACGCATGCATACACACATACACACACACACGCACGCACACACACGCGGTGCTGTGCAGCGGGCGCGCCGCGTGCGCGCTGGCGGCGCGGCGCTGGACGTGCGTCGCGCTCAACGTGCGCGAGCTGCTGCTGCGCCGCCGCCTGCACGTGCAGGTGACGCGCACACGCACGCACGCATGCATACACACATACACACACACACGCACGCACACACACGCGGTGCTGTGCAGCGGGCGCGCCGCGTGCGCGCTGGCGGCGCGGCGCTGGACGTGCGTCGCGCTCAACGTGCGCGAGCTGCTGCTGCGCCGCCGCCTGCACGTGCAGGTGACGCGCACACGCACGCACGCATGCATACACACATACACACACACACGCACGCACACACACGCGGTGCTGTGCAGCGGGCGCGCCGCGTGCGCGCTGGCGGCGCGGCGCTGGACGTGCGTCGCGCTCAACGTGCGCGAGCTGCTGCTGCGCCGCCGCCTGCACGTGCAGGTGACGCGCACACGCACGCACGCATGCATACACACATACACACACACACGCACGCACACACACGCGGTGCTGTGCAGCGGGCGCGCCGCGTGCGCGCTGGCGGCGCGGCGCTGGACGTGCGTCGCGCTCAACGTGCGCGAGCTGCTGCTGCGCCGCCGCCTGCACGTGCAGGTGACGCGCACACGCACGCACGCATGCATACACACATACACACACACACGCACGCACACACACGCGGTGCTGTGCAGCGGGCGCGCCGCGTGCGCGCTGGCGGCGCGGCGCTGGACGTGCGTCGCGCTCAACGTGCGCGAGCTGCTGCTGCGCCGCCGCCTGCACGTGCAGGTGACGCGCACACGCACGCACGCATGCATACACACATACACACACACACGCACGCACACACACGCGGTGCTGTGCAGCGGGCGCGCCGCGTGCGCGCTGGCGGCGCGGCGCTGGACGTGCGTCGCGCTCAACGTGCGCGAGCTGCTGCTGCGCCGCCGCCTGCACGTGCAGGTGACGCGCACACGCACGCACGCATGCATACACACATACACACACACACGCACGCACACACACGCGGTGCTGTGCAGCGGGCGCGCCGCGTGCGCGCTGGCGGCGCGGCGCTGGACGTGCGTCGCGCTCAACGTGCGCGAGCTGCTGCTGCGCCGCCGCCTGCACGTGCAGGTGACGCGCACACGCACGCACGCATGCATACACACATACACACACACACGCACGCACACACACGCGGTGCTGTGCAGCGGGCGCGCCGCGTGCGCGCTGGCGGCGCGGCGCTGGACGTGCGTCGCGCTCAACGTGCGCGAGCTGCTGCTGCGCCGCCGCCTGCACGTGCAGGTGACGCGCACACGCACGCACGCATGCATACACACATACACACACACACGCACGCACACACACGCGGTGCTGTGCAGCGGGCGCGCCGCGTGCGCGCTGGCGGCGCGGCGCTGGACGTGCGTCGCGCTCAACGTGCGCGAGCTGCTGCTGCGCCGCCGCCTGCACGTGCAGGTGACGCGCACACGCACGCACGCATGCATACACACATACACACACACACGCACGCACACACACGCGGTGCTGTGCAGCGGGCGCGCCGCGTGCGCGCTGGCGGCGCGGCGCTGGACGTGCGTCGCGCTCAACGTGCGCGAGCTGCTGCTGCGCCGCCGCCTGCACGTGCAGGTGACGCGCACACGCACGCACGCATGCATACACACATACACACACACACGCACGCACACACACGCGGTGCTGTGCAGCGGGCGCGCCGCGTGCGCGCTGGCGGCGCGGCGCTGGACGTGCGTCGCGCTCAACGTGCGCGAGCTGCTGCTGCGCCGCCGCCTGCACGTGCAGGTGACGCGCACACGCACGCACGCATGCATACACACATACACACACACACGCACGCACACACACGCGGTGCTGTGCAGCGGGCGCGCCGCGTGCGCGCTGGCGGCGCGGCGCTGGACGTGCGTCGCGCTCAACGTGCGCGAGCTGCTGCTGCGCCGCCGCCTGCACGTGCAGGTGACGCGCACACGCACGCACGCATGCATACACACATACACACACACACGCACGCACACACACGCGGTGCTGTGCAGCGGGCGCGCCGCGTGCGCGCTGGCGGCGCGGCGCTGGACGTGCGTCGCGCTCAACGTGCGCGAGCTGCTGCTGCGCCGCCGCCTGCACGTGCAGGTGACGCGCACACGCACGCACGCATGCATACACACATACACACACACACGCACGCACACACACGCGGTGCTGTGCAGCGGGCGCGCCGCGTGCGCGCTGGCGGCGCGGCGCTGGACGTGCGTCGCGCTCAACGTGCGCGAGCTGCTGCTGCGCCGCCGCCTGCACGTGCAGGTGACGCGCACACGCACGCACGCATGCATACACACATACACACACACACGCACGCACACACACGCGGTGCTGTGCAGCGGGCGCGCCGCGTGCGCGCTGGCGGCGCGGCGCTGGACGTGCGTCGCGCTCAACGTGCGCGAGCTGCTGCTGCGCCGCCGCCTGCACGTGCAGGTGACGCGCACACGCACGCGCGCATGCATACACACATACACACACACACGCACGCACACACACGCGGTGCTGTGCAGCGGGCGCGCCGCGTGCGCGCTGGCGGCGCGGCGCTGGACGTGCGTCGCGCTCAACGTGCGCGAGCTGCTGCTGCGCCGCCGCCTGCACGTGCAGGTGACGCGCACACGCACGCGCGCATGCATACACACATACACACACACACGCACGCACACACACGCGGTGCTGTGCAGCGGGCGCGCCGCGTGCGCGCTGGCGGCGCGGCGCTGGACGTGCGTCGCGCTCAACGTGCGCGAGCTGCTGCTGCGCCGCCGCCTGCACGTGCAGGTGACGCGCACACGCACGCACGCATGCATACACACATACACACACACACGCACGCACACACACGCGGTGCTGTGCAGCGGGCGCGCCGCGTGCGCGCTGGCGGCGCGGCGCTGGACGTGCGTCGCGCTCAACGTGCGCGAGCTGCTGCTGCGCCGCCGCCTGCACGTGCAGGTGACGCGCACACGCACGCACGCATGCATACACACATACACACACACACGCACGCACACACACGCGGTGCTGTGCAGCGGGCGCGCCGCGTGCGCGCTGGCGGCGCGGCGCTGGACGTGCGTCGCGCTCAACGTGCGCGAGCTGCTGCTGCGCCGCCGCCTGCACGTGCAGGTGACGCGCACACGCACGCACGCATGCATACACACATACACACACACACGCACGCACACACACGCGGTGCTGTGCAGCGGGCGCGCCGCGTGCGCGCTGGCGGCGCGGCGCTGGACGTGCGTCGCGCTCAACGTGCGCGAGCTGCTGCTGCGCCGCCGCCTGCACGTGCAGGTGACGCGCACACGCACGCACGCATGCATACACACATACACACACACACGCACGCACACACACGCGGTGCTGTGCAGCGGGCGCGCCGCGTGCGCGCTGGCGGCGCGGCGCTGGACGTGCGTCGCGCTCAACGTGCGCGAGCTGC